GAATCGGAAACAGGCTCCAGGCTCTGAGCCATCAGCCCAGAGCCCGACGCGGGGCTCGAACTCACGGACCGCGAGATCGTGACCTGGCTGAAGTCGGATGCTTAACCGACTGCGCCACCCAGGCGCCCCTTCCCACACCTATTTTTGACAACCAAAAATGTCTCCAGACATTTCAAAATGTCCATGGCGAGGGTGCACAAATGTGCTCAGTTGAGAACCACTGGGTTAGGGTTGAGCTCCTATGCACTCACACATGCAGAATGACCGACAACTTTCCCCAGTTCTTCTTTTCAAGGTGACCGCAGACACTGCTTGACTCCTGGCCAGTTACAAAGCAATTAAGTACATTTCCGCAGCTTTACATCACATTCACAAGGGGAACCTTGGGAAATCCTTGCTTTTCTCTCCATTTCTTTGTTCTCTACACTTTTGCTGCATGCCCATTATATGATGGGAACACTTCTTCCAAGAGGAAGAAGATACTTCCTGCCTCAGAAGAGCTGAAGACAGTTCCTGCCTCAGAAAAGCTCAAGTTCAGGGTTTGGGGAAGAGACAGAAATATGCAACCTATTAAAACACAGTGTGGGGGCTCCTGGGTGGCTCAGGTTTTCAGTGTCCAACTTTGACTTAGGTCATGATCTTGTGAGTTTGAGCACCACATCAGGATCTGCAATGACAGAGTGGAGCCTGCTTGGGACTCTGTCTGTCCGTGTGTGTGTGTGTGTGCGTGTGTGTGCCTCTCTCCCACTTATAGGCACACACACTCTCTCTCAAAATGAATAAATAAACTTAAAAAAAAAACCCACAGTGTGATGAGGCTCGTATAAAGATGGGCGTGGGATATTAAACAGATAAGCAGAGCCCATGGTCTGAGGACCCAAGGGCAAAAGCTCTGACCTCTGCCTCAGGGGTGGGAAAAGGATTAGAAAAAGCTTTCCAAGGGGCGCCTGGGTGGCGCAGTCGGTTAAGCGTCCGACTTCAGCCAGGTCACGATCTCGCGGTCCGTGAGTTCGAGCCCCGCGTCGGGCTCTGTGCTGATGGCTCAGAGCCTGGAGCCTGCTTCGGATTCTGTCTCCCTCTCTATCCCTCTCCGACTAGTGCTCTGTCTCTGTCTCTCAAAAATAAATAAAGGTAAAAAAAAAAAATAAACATTTAAAAAATAAAAACGAGGGGCGCCTGGGTGGCGCAGTCGGTTAAGCGTCCGACTTCAGCCAGGTCACGATCTCGCGGTCCGTGAGTTCGAGCCCCGCATCGGGCTCTGGGCCTGATGGCTCGGAGCCTGGAGCCTGTTTCCGATTCTGTGTCTCCCTCTCTCTCTGCCCCTCCCCCGTTCATGCTCTGTCTCTCTCTGTCCCAAAAATAAATAAACGTTGAAAAAAAAATGTTTTAAAAAAAAGAAAAGAAAAAGCTTTCCAAGTGCGGATGGGTGGCTCAGCCAGTTAAATGTCCAACTCTCAATTTTGGCTCAGGTCATAATCTCACAGTTCATGGGTTCAAGCCCTGTATCGGGCTCTGCGCTGATGGTGCAGAGCCTACTTGGGATTCTCTCTCTGTCTCTCTCCCCCTCCCCCACTCATGCTGTCTTTCTCTCTCTCCCAAAATAAATAAACTTTATTTATTTAAGAAAAGAAGAAAAAGAAAAAAAGAGAAAGCTTTTCAGAGGAAACCACTTTTAAGCCACACCTTGAGGGGCAAGCAGGAGTTGGCCAAGCAGAGAAGAGGAAAAGCAGCCCGGGGAGTGATAACATCAGGCACAAGGAAGTGGGAGATGACCTGGTAGCTTTTGGGCAAGAGCAGACAGTCTGCACTAGCTGTAACCTGGGGTGAAAGAGACAAGATTAATTTCCTCCCCAAAACTCTGGCTGGAGTCTGCTCTCCAAGGGCCCTGTCTCCAGGCTGAGGAGGTTGGACTTCATCCTTCAGTCTGCCACATTAAAAAAAAAAAAAAATGAACCTGGATTTAGACAAAGCAAGACTTTGTTCAAAAGGATTATTGCCATAAGAAAAGGAGACTGTTGCAAAAGGGGAAGGACTCCTCTTGCTACAAAAGTAGTCTGAATGAATCTGAAAAGATGGAAATGATGCAAAGCATCTTTTCTGATCCCTGTGGAGCAAAACTAGAAATTGATGATAAGAAGGAAAACTGGAAAACTCACAAATATGTGGAAATCAAAACAACATGCTCCTAAGCAACCATTTGATCAATGAAGAAATCACAAGGAAAACCAGAAAATACTGCAGACAAATGAAAACTAAAATACAGCCTGCCAAAATTCATGGGATGCAGTGAAAGCAGTGCTTAGAGAGAAATATAAAGCTGTAAATGCTTATGTTAAAAAGGAAGAAGGATTTCAAATAAACTGCCTAACTTCACATATTAAGGAAGACAAAGAAAAATGGACTAAGCCCCAAGCTAGCAGAAGGAACGAAATAATAAAAATTATAATGGAGATGATGAAATAGAATAACAATATAAAGAAAATCAACAAGACCAAAAGTTGGTTCTTTGAAGAGATCAACAAAATTGGCCAACTTTTAGCTAGATCAACTAAGAAATATTTTAAAAAGATTATAAGAGAGTACTATGATCAATTGTACGCCAACAAATTGGGTAACCTAGGTAAATGAACACGTTCTTAGAAACACACAATCTAGCAGGACTCAATCAGAAACAAAAAAATCTGATAGACCTATTGTTGCATCCACACGACTCCTGAAACAGAATGCTATGGGCACCAGTGACAGTCACAACAAAGTTTATTACAATGAGAGGTAAGGCTGACTGATCGGGACCAACACTCTTGATAAGAGTGTGGCCCTGAACAGCCGGGGTACAGAGTTTTTAAAGCCGATCACATCGCTTTATCATTATCTGGGACAGAACAGATAAATAGTTCCCAGATGAGTTAGAAACAGTTGCCAGATGAGTCAGAAACAGTTATCGAATGAGGTGATTATTTTAGATTTTCTGCCGCTAAGTTGCAACCAGTGGATCTCTTTGACCTTGTCTCTGATGCTCTTTTTGAGGTTTTGTTTCCTTCATTGGTAAAGCCTGATTCACAAGAGTATGAAGTATGATTTACAAGAGTAAAAGCAAAGTTGTTATCTTTTGACCTTCAGTATCAGAACAAAGTTGTTATCTTTCAAGCTAAGCGTTAGCCCTACAGTACAATTTAACCCTTACACTATAACTAGTAAGATTGAATCAGGAATCAAAAACCTTCCAACAAAGAAAATCTCAGGACCACATGGTTTCATGGGTGAGTTCTAACAAACATTTAAAGAAGAATTAGGGGCACCTGGCTTGCTCAGTTGGTAGAGCGTGTGGCTCTTGATCTCAGGGTTGCAAGCTCAAGCCCTACATTGGCTGTAGAGATTACTTAAAAATAAAATCTTTAGAAAAACATAATAAATAAAGAATTAATACCACCCCTTCTCAAACTCTTCCAAAAAATCAAAGAGGAGGGAACACTTCCTAACTCATTCTATGAGACGAACTTTATCTTGATACCAAAGCCAGACAAAGACACTACAAGAAAATGAAACTACAGACCAATATCCTTTAGACATGGCACCAAAACTCAGGCAACAAAGTAGATAAATTGGACTTCATGAGAATTGAAAATTTTCGTGCATCTAATGACACTTTTGACATTGTGAAAAAGCAATCCACAGAATGGAAAAAAACATTTGCAAGTCAGATATCTGATAAAGGATTAACAGATAATAAAAGAAGGTCCTGCAACTCAACAACAAATACGATAACTCTATTTATTTACTTGTATTTATTTTTAATTTTACATTTATGTATTTTTGAAAGACAGAGTGAGACAGAGCATGAGTGGAGGAGGGGCAGAGAGAGGAGACACATAATCTGAAGCAGGCCCCAGGCTCTGAGCAAGCGTTCAGCACAGAGCTGGATGGGGGCTCCAACCCACGCACCGTGAGATCATGACCTGAGCCAAAGTCGGACACTTAACGGACTGAGCCACCCAGGCGCCCCAGTTTTTAAAAAAATTTTTTTAATGTTTTTATTTATTTTTGAGAGACAGAGACAGCACGCAAGCAGGTGAGGGGCAGAGAGACAGGGAGAGAGAGAATCCCAAGCAGGCTCCCCTTGCCAACACAGAGCCACAGACAGGGCTCTAACCCACCCACTAACCGTGAGATCATGACCAGTAGAAATCAAGAGTAGGAGGCTCAACCGGCTGAGCCACCCAGGCAGTCCTAAAAAAAAAAAAAAAAAAAAGATTTTATTTTTAGGTAATATCTACCCCCAGCGTGGGGCTCCAACTCACACCCTCTAGATCAAGAGTGGATGCTCCACCTGTCTGAGCCAATCAGGCGACCCGTGAAAATGTTTAATGGTTGGGGCACCTGGGTGGCTCAGTCGGTTGGGCGGCCGACTTCGGCTCAGGTCACGATCTCGCGGTCCGTGAGTTCGAGCCCCACGTGGGGCTCTGGGCTGATGGCTCAGAGCCTGGAGCCTGCTTTCAATTCTGTGTCTCCCTCTCTCTCTGCCCCTCCCCCGTTCATGCTCTGTCTCTGTCTCAAAAATAAATAAAACGTAAAAAAAAAAAGAAAATGTTTAATGGCTAAGAAAGTGTTTCATGAGTGCAACAAGGAGCTTGAGCCAGCAGAATCAGGCAGGGTAGAAGAGTTTTCACTAGCATCATGAAGAAAGGCCTCTCTAAAAGGAAAACGGGCACCCACATTCCCACCACAACCGGTTCAAGTCCTCAAGACTATTTCTGGGGGTTGCCAAGCTTCAGCGGCCTCCTTGATTGGGTGCGGCGGAAAGGCACGTGCAGCCGCTGATTGGCTGCGGGATACGCCCATGCAGCCGGTGACTGGCTGCAGGGTAGACACGCCCCATGCAAGGCTGGAAGGCGGGATCAGGGGACTCCTGTTGCCCTCCGACCTTCCCCGCGCCACCGACGGAAGCCGGCTGGCGTCGGGCGCCCTCTCCTGGCCTCTTCTCTTTCCTGGCTACCGTTGAATGCGCGGCCTGGCGCGTTGGAACCGCCAACTGGGCTTCCATAACGCAGGGCTTCTCTGGCAGTCAGACGGCCCTGGGCTTGGCAGTCACTGGGGGGGTCGGTTGGGTGCCAGGACGGCTCTGCAACCTGAGAGGCCCCCTGGAGCCTGTCGGTGGGACAGAGACTACTTCTGGGTTGCTCGTCTGGGGAGGCTCAGTTCACCAGGAGCCTGTGTGCATTCAGCCCGCCACCAAGTCGGTTACCGGGTCGGCCTCAAGGGCAGCCAGGGGGGGTCACCAGTCTAATAAGCCCACCAAGCGGTCTGTTGATTAAGGATCAGATTAGCGTCCTTATGAGTCAAAAAGGTAGTCCCCTTGCAAACCAATTAATCAGTGAATCTGATAATCCACCCACTTGGTAGACTGCCCTGCTCATCTGTTAATTATGCTCCCTCTGAATCCGTCTCTTAATAAATTAATCCCCCTGTGAGGCGTTCAGTCATTAGTCCCACGGTTATCCCGAGTGTAAGCGGGTTAATCAGTTTCACTGTTTGTCCTTGGTGTCCCTAGAAAATCAGCTTTCCAGTCAGCATAAGTAGGCCAGTCGTCCAAAAGTGGGGTGCTTCCCGCAGCGAGTCGGAAAAGCCGTTTGTAGCATTTAGACTCTGCCAAGGTCATACACGGTCGGAAGCGTGCTGAGGAGGAAAAATATCCTGGAGCCCTTGCAACGAGAGCCAAAGGTAAAATGCAGAGGAGAAAAGATGGGCAAAGGGAAGTATAAGGGGGAGGAAAAAAGAGGGTGCATGAAGAGCCATCCCTGTATCTCTAAAGCCTTGCAGGAGAAAAGCAAGAAGAAATCAGAATTTTAGAGCTAGATGGATCACTACACCTCAAATCAGAAAATGCACTGATGTTACAGATGAGGAAATCAAAGGAAAACTAGAGAGGAGAAAATATTTGACCAAGTTATTCAGTGATTTACTAGCAAAGCCTGGGCCTGGACCCAGACGGGGCTCATTCCAACATCCAAATGTGGTTTGTTTGTTTGTTTTTTAATGTTTATTTATTTTTGAGAGACAGAGACAGAGTGTGTGTGGGGGGGGGGGGGGGGGTAGGGGCAGAGAGGGAGGGAGACACAGATTCGGAAGCAGGTTCCAGGCTGAGCTGTCAGCACAGAGCCCGTCACATGCTCGAGCTCACGAATCACGAGATCATGACCTGAGCCGAAGTCAGACACTTAACTGACTGAGCCACTCAGGCGCCCCCAAATGTGGTTTTAAATCGGAGAAGGGGGGAATATATTGGCAATGGAAAAAGGGGAGCCGATATGGATTTCCTCCCTCTGGGTATCTGCTCAAATGTCACTTCCTCAAAGAGGCTTTCTCTGACCACTCTACCTAAGCTGTTTCTCCATTGCCCCCCCTCCCCCCATCCCATAACCCGCTATCCTATTATCCTGCGTTATTTTTCTTCATGGTACTTCCTAGCTATCAAATTATCTTGATTGCCAACTCATTCATTGTCTGCCTTCCCTCCCTGCTAGAATGAAGACAGGGATTCTTATTCTTATTTAATTCCCTTTCCCTAAAACAGTGCCTGGCGTAAACAAGGTGCTCACAATGTTGGTTGCTAGAGAGAATGAGTGAGAGTGCCACCACTAAGGAATGTGCTTCTTGAGACTCATTAGAGGAAGCAGACTGTACTTTTTTTTTAGTTTATTTATTTGTTTTTAAAAAAATTTTTTTTAACGTTTTATTTATTTTTGAGACAGAGAGAGACAGAGCATGAATGGGGGAGGGGCAGAGAGAGAGGGAGACACAGAATCGGAAGCAGGCTCCAGGCTCCGAGCCATCAGCCCAGAGCCCGACGCGGGGCTCGAACTCACGGACCGCGAGATTGTGACCTGAGCTGAAGTCGGACGCTTAACCAACTGAGCCACCCAGGCGCCCCTATTTATTTGTTTTTAGAGAGAGAGAGAAAGAGAGAGAGAGGGAGAAGGGGAGGGGCAGAGAGAGAATCCCAAACAGGCTCCAAGCTGTCAGCGCAGAGCCTGACGCAGGGCTCAATCTCACAAACTGTGAGATTGTGGGATCGTGACCTGAGCTGAAACCAAGAGTCAGGTGCTTAACTGACTGAGCCACCCAGGCGCCCTCAGACTGTGCTTTGAAGTAGAGAGCAGGGCCTCTGTAGAGTGTCAGGAGGTGAGGTCAGAGAGGTAAAGGGAGAGGGGCTACCTACCTCGTGCAGAACTTTGGCTTATACTTGGAGTGAGATGAGAGGCACTGGAGAATTTTGAGCAGAGAAGGGGCAGGATGTTACTGAAGTGTTGATAGGTTCCCTCTGGCCACAGCACGGGGAATAAAATGAACAGGGACTAAGGTAGAGCAGCAAGGCCAGTGAGTCGGTTCCTGCAGCCATCTGGGTGAGTGAGCCTGGTGTCTTGGGCCAGGGTGACAGCAGTGGAGGTGACTGGGAAGTGTATTTTGAAATCAGTGCCCACAGGATTTTCCGACATGGCTGCAGGCCATGAGAGAAAAGAGGGTAGTCACAAAGGACTCTGAGCTTTCAACTCTTGATTTCTTCCTAGGTGCTAGTTCATTTGATTTAGAGACATGTTTCCTAAGTTTTAGGTGATTGGTTTTTATTTTTATTTTTCTGAGATGAGAGCAAGGATGTTTAAACTTTTAATATTACTTTCTACCCTTGCTCTGTTGCCTGTTGGCCAAAGAATGTAGGTGGTTTATAAACATTTTTCTGCTCCTTGGGAGGTTGGTGTGGAGCAAGAGGAACTTGAGTTATATTTTATTTTATTTTTTAAAAATGTTTTATTTGTTTTTGAGACAGAGAGAGCCAGAGCATGAGCAGAGGAGGGGCAGAGAGAGAGGGAGACACAGAATGTGAAGCAGAACCCAGGCTCTGAGCTGTCAGCACACAGCCCAACGCGGGGCCCAAACTCGCAAACCTTGAGATCATGACCTGAGCCGAAGTCGGACGCTTAACCGACTGAGCCACCCAGGCGCCCCGGAACTTGACTTTTAGATCCATCTCTAACTTATTTAAGGAAATCACTTACTACCTTGCACTTCAGTTTCCTCCTCCATAAGGAGGCCTTTGTAAGACTTAATTCCTCAGGGTTCCTGGAAATGAACGAAGACTACCCAAGTGAGAACAAACAAGTTGCTTATTCAGAGCTGTAACAGGAGAGTCAGCCACCATCACTTGCATGTGGCAACAACTCAAAGGGAGGCAGCATAGTGGGAAAAAGAGTTTCAGATAAGGTCTGACAGGAGAGTGTTATCATGGGGAAGCTGGAGGTTAGCTAATTCGAAGTGGGGGCAATTTAGGGGCACTTGGGTGGCTCAGTCAGTTGAGCGTCTGACTCTTGGTTTCGGCTCTGGTCACGATCCCAGAGTTATGGAATCAAGCCCCACGTCAGGCTCCACACCTGCTTAAGATTAAGATTCTCTCCCTCTCTCTCTCTTCCTCTGCCCCTCTTGCTCTCAAAAGAAACAGAAAGAAAGAAAGAAAGAAAGAAAGAAAGAAAGAAAGAAGAAAGAAAAAGTGGGAGTATCTTATGTGGTTGAATTGGGGAGCAGAGTCCACTTTCTTTGGTTGGTTCTGAGCTGGAAGCAGGGGCAAAAAACAGGGAAGTTTTTGACCAAGTTCTGACTGTACTGGGTCGATTGCCACAGAGGTTGTGGTTTGGCTTCTTGTATTTGTTGCTGCAAAGTGAGGGTCAGAGTCATGTCATACAGTTGAGGCTTGAGGGCCATATATGGTATGGACATTGTATATTCAGTCTCTCAGGTTCTTGGGAGTAGTAAATGAGATGATGTACAGGTGGAATTGACAGGTATTAGTACATAAATAAATATTTATCTCAGTCAAAGATTTTCAACATTTCATTATGGTCTAATTATGCAATCCTGTCTTTGTTTTCATTTACTAATTCATCTTTATGAAAAGAATTTGTTCCCCAATGTAATACATGAATGCAAACTTACGTGTCAAACAATGCCAACGTGTATAGAATAAAAACTGAAAATCCTACTTAATCTTTCCTCTTATCACTGCTCTACCCATAGGTAAGTACTGGTACCAGCTTATTATGTATCTTTCCAGATCTTTGTTTCATTTATGTTTGTGCATTTATGAATGTGTTATACATGAACATATAACTATTATGTGTGAACATATATATATTTTCATGTAATACACATATATAAAGCTTTTACATAAATGACAAATGATCAGATTTTCATTTAAATATTGTGAAATATTTCAGACATATTGAAAGGTGTGAAAATGGTATAAAAGGAATGTGTGTTATACCTCTTATATATCCTTTCCCCAGAAACATTTCCCACTCAAACCTAGAAATTACTGCTACCCTGGATTTGGCATTTATCATTCTTTGTGATAAGGTATTTAACCCAGCTTGAAGAAAGATCTGGCCTTCACCCTTGGCTTCTGGGAAATAATATCTAAGCCCCTAGGATGCCATGCCTGACAGGAGTGTCTTTGTTTGCCTGGGGGCCTTGCATCACACTGAATAGTCTGCAAATGTGATTCAAGGCAGGGGCCGGCCACACCAGATCATGTAACAATGTGATTTAAGGTCTTTGGATCATGTGGTACCAGCTCAACTTCAGAAGGACCTACAGACAGAGACCCAAGCCCATGTGATGGGACTGACTGGGAGCAGTCAGTCGGGCCCATGTGATGAAGGCCCAATAAAAACTGTGGACACAAGGCTTGGGTGAACTTCTCAGGTCGTCATATTCCATGCATATTGTCGCACATCATTACCAGGAAATATGAGTTATACTGTCCATGACTCCACAGGGAGAGGACAGCTGGGAACTCTGGTTGGAACTTTCCTGGACTCTGCCCTATGTGCTTCTTCCCTGGCTAGATTTTAATACGAATCCTTCAGTTGTAATAAATAATAACCATGAGTATAACAGCTTTCAGGAATTCTGTGAATATTTCTAGTGAATTATCGAACCTATGAGTAGTCATGGGGATCCTAACACTTGCAATTGGTGTTAGAAGTGAGGGTGGTTTTAGAGACCTCTGAAATCTGCAGTTGGTGTCAGAAGTGAGGCCATCTTTTTGGAACTGTTCCCTAACTTTGCAGTTGGCCTCAGAAATGAGATTTGCGAGAACCTGACTCAGTGAAACATATGGTTTGGGAAGAACAAAGATGTGAAATCAGGGGATGAGGAACCTTTCATTCCTACATGTCCCCAAAGTCACTCATGGGCATGAAAATGCAACTGTTCTGCAATTAGTTACAGGAAGTTAAAGTTACCAGTGTTTCTTTTTTTTTATTTTTTTTTAAATTTTTTTTTCAACGTTTATTTATTTTTGGGACAGAGAGAGACAGAGCATGAACGGGGAGGGGCAGAGAGAGAGGGAGACACAGAATCGGAAACAGGCTCCAGGCTCTGAGCCATCAGCCCAGAGCCCGACGCGGGGCTCGAACTCACGGACCGCGAGATCGTGACCTGGCTGAAGTCGGACGCTCAACCGACTGCGCCACCCAGGCGCCCCTCTTTTTTTTTTAAATTATGGATCCAACTCTGAAGGAATTGACTCACTAGGTGCATAAGGAAATTCAAAATCTCAAGAAACCAGCCAAATATAACCATCCCTTGGTTGCTTTTATCTGTAAGACCTATAATGAAAGAAAAGAGCTGGAGTGGATCCTAACGCTGGTCCAAGCTTGGGTTCGGTTCGGTCTGAGCTATGGCTGCTGGCCTCAGGGCTGCTACTAAAGGGAAAAGTCATGTTGGAACAATAGGTAGCAAAGAAAATTAGAGTGAGTGATTCACAAGAGAACGGAGAAAAATGAAGGGAGTGTCAAAGGGACTCATCCCAACAGAGAGAAAAATCTTTAAATAGTTATGAATCAGGGCACCTGGGTGGCTCAGTCAGTTAAGTGTCCAACTTCGGCTCAGGTCAATATTTCGCAGTTTGTGGGTTTGAGCCCCACATCAGGCTCTGTGCTGACAGCCCAGAGCCTGGAACCTGCTTCAGATTCTGTCTCTCTCTCTCTGTCTCTCTCTCTCTCTCTCTCTGCCCCTCCGCCACTAGCGCTCTGTCTCTGTCTCTTTCTGTCTCAAAAATAAACATTAAAAAAATAAAATAAATGAATAAAATGGAAATTGATGGGATCAAAACAAAGGTCTGAGTGCAGTGCTTTTGGAGTTTGGGTAGACCAGGGGGAGCCTCAGATACCTCCCCCCCAACTTTGAAGGATCCTAATAAAATCTGTTCTAGTTACCCTAGTTTTGAGGAATTTCAAAAGTCCAAAGGCAAATATGACAATGGGACCTGAACTTCAAATGGCTTGAGGTGATGGTCCCATGACCTAATCAAGGTAATGATTGGTCAGGGGTTCTCGGGTGGCCCCTCCCCAACTCGTGCTCTCTCTTTCAAAGTAAATAAGTATTCTTTTTAAAAAAGATGATGATTGGGGCACCTGGGTGGTTTAATCGGTTAAGCATCTGATTTCAGGTCACAATATCACAGTTCACGAGCTTGAGCCCCACATCAGGCTCTGTGCTGACAGCTTGGAGCTTGGAGCCTGCTTTGGATTCTGTGTCTCCCTCTCTCTCTCTGCCCCTCCCCTGCTCGTGCTCTGTCTGTCTCTCTCTCTCTCTCTCTCTCTCTCTCAAAAATAAATAAAAACTTTTTTTTAATTTTTAAAAAAGTAAATAAAAGGGCCTCAGTTCTTTGGCTCCATGCCTAGCTGGAGACTCAAAGCCACATGCACATTAGTGGTAAAATGGTCAGGAGAAGAGATGTTTCTGGGACTCCTTAAGCTGGAGGTTAGTGGGAGTTATAGTTAGATTGGGAAGATATGGGAATAGAAGGATTGAAGGAGTTAAAGTGAGGGTTTGTTTAGATGAAAAATAGAATGCTTGAACAGATTTTATGTAAAGCCATTGTGTCTCCTCCTTTATCTGAATGTAAGTACATACCGTGTCTGACTGGGAAACACCTCCCTTACCTAGTATTATGAAATAGGAGGCATGTAAATCCTCCCTTCAGCCAGTATATGCTAAATGGGAACCAATAAAATTGCCCAGGCCCACACAGGTTGTTAATTTGAAGAATATAGGATATCTGGTGAGGAAAAAAAAAACAACATGTCAGAAACCCAGCGTTTGATTGATTTGGATTTTGGATGGCACACATTCTACATTTGGGAATATGGCCAGCTCCTAACCATAAAACCACTAGAGTGAAGTCTTGGGAGTCTATGCAGACTGCAGTTTATGGCAAAAGCCAGCCAGCACCACCCAGTGGCAACCACTGGGATTTTTTTTTTTTTAATCAGGAAATTTCCATTTGAGACAGACAACTAGCTGGCTATTGAGCTTTGATTGAAAATGCCCACAGGACGGAGAGAAGTACAATAATCCTGAAACCTGAAATATCCATGATATCTTTGGTAATTTGGGTAAACACGATAATAAGGAAGACCGTGCCCAGAAGAGTTCTGTAATAAAATGGAAATGGTTTACAGGGGAACCTGGTACCATGGGAATGTGAGGAAGTAGTCATCATATTAGGGAGCAGATGGCCTCTTTCCCCTCCTTTTACCACCCGAGGAGCTGCCAGATCCTATTGCCACTTGGGTGGTGACAGTGAATAGCTCTCAGTTGACCAACAAAGAGCTGCTTGGTTTATGGAAGGCTGTTCCAACATGAAGGGGTTCCTTTGAGTGGGAAATACTAGCAATGGAATGCTAGTAAATATTTACTAGCCGGATCTCCAAAGGGAAAAAGAAGCCTTGAATTGTAGTATTACCAACCTCTGCTGTGTAGACACTCTCACTGGAGATAGTCTCAAGCTACCAACTCATCATATAGAGTTAGGAAGAGATACAATAGCACACCGTTATGTGGTATTTCCATCATACAGGTACAATAGATGCAAATAATCTCAAGGACACAGATAACAGTAAAATGCACTAGAAAAATTAGGGAGTAATCAGTTTCGAGTGATTACCATCTTTGCTTTTAATATAATTTGTTTATAAGTTTATATAATTTAATTTTTAATAATGGCCGTGTTTGACAACCAGCTTGTAACATTTTTGAAAATTTAATAATCAGCTTTTTTTTTTTAATGTTTATTTATTTTTGAGACAGAGAGAGACAGAGCATGAACGGGGGAGGGTCAGAGAGAGAGGGAGACACAGAATCTGAAACAGGCTCCAGGCTCTGAGCCATCAGCACAGAGCCCGACGCGGGGCTTGAACTCACGAACCGTGAGATCATGACCTGAGCCGAAGTCGGACACTTAACCGACTGAGCCACCCAGGCGCCCCAATAATCAGCTTTTTAAAGCTGGTTTATGCAGGCTCCAGCCCAATGTTGGATATTGTTTAGAAACCAAGATATAGGTGCTAGGCATGTTTATCACTAGGGATATGTCGTTGCTTCTAGGCTCTTTCAATGAACAGAATATGGAAATAGCATTTGTTCTTTAAAGCCAAGGGTTTGTATTGATAACTCTCTTTGTCTCCCTCAAGACAGTAGAGTCAGAGCACTGTGTTCAAAGGTTACTTGAAATAGACATTCTTCCAGAATGGTTCTGTTATCATTGTTTTCATTGGTTTACTAGATCTTGTGTGTGTTCAATTTTAGGGTTTTGCTTTCTTTTCCCCTTCTAGGTTCCTTTCGGAACAGTAAAATATCAATATGGTTGGAAAGGTTTTTTTCTTCCCTTGACCAAAACTGTGTCACCTGGCTACCAGGACATTCATGTAAGGGAACCTGGGAACATTAATATTTGTTATCGTAAGGCTCTGTAGTAGAAGCAACAGGGATGATGGTGCCGGGATACCTGTTGGGTCAGAAGCCAGAAGTGTCTGCCACAAGGTATTATAGACTAGGGACACGTCCCCTCATCCTGCCTTTTCCAGGAATTTGTGCAGAAATGGCGGACTCGTGGCCAAAGAGGGAAAGGACTTGTCTGTGGTCCTCCAGTGAATCAGTGACATAGCTTATATAATCAGTACTCAAATCCAGGGCCCCTGCTCTTAAGTCAATGCTTTATTTAAAAAAAAAAAGGGGGGGGATAGTTTCACAAAAGATAAAACTGACAGTTGAACATGTTGTCAGTGACTACCAAACAAGGTCACTTTCTTTCTTTCTTTTTTAATGTTTACCTATTTATTTTGAGTGGAGAAGAGCAGATAGAGAGGGAGAGAGAGAATCCCAAGTAGCCTCTGCACTGTCAGCACAGAGCCTGACACAGGGCTCGCTCTCACAAACTGTGAGATCATGACCTGAGCCGAGATCAAAAGTCAGACCCTTGGGGTGCCTGGGGGGGCTCAGTTTAAGGGTCCATCTCTTGATTTCAGCTCAGGTCACAATCTCACAGTTTGTGAGAGCGAGCCCCACATTGGGCTCCAAGCTGCCCACATGCAGCCTCCTTGGGATTCTCTCTCTCTCTCTCTCTCTCTCTCTCTCTCTCTGCCCCTCCCTCTCTCTCTCTTTCAAAATAAATAAACTCTTAAAAAACAGAAAAAGAGTCAGATGCTTAACAGACTGAGCCACCCAGGCACCCTAAGCAAGGTCATTTTCTAAGCTCTTCTGAGGTCACAAAGGTCTGTTTGATGTAGGGCCTTCCCTTAAAGGGCTCAGTCTCAGGTAGATTCTTTACTAAGATATTGTGTTAGTTTCCCAACTAGAATGACCTAACCAAATAAAAATTTGTCTTCCTCATCCAAAGTGATGAACAGAGATAGGCTGTGCAGAGCTGGTGTAGCAGTAACACAAGGCCATCAGGGATTGGGCTCCTCAAACTATTCTGCTAGAATATCCTTCATGAGTGGCGTTCATCCTCGTGGTTACCTCATGGCTGCCAAATGGCTGCTCTACCTCCAGGATCACATCCATATTCTAGGGAGGAAAGAGAAGAAAGCGACAAGGAGGAAAGAAATGACAATATCAGGAAAGGAAGACTTTCCCGAGAACCCTCAGCCCACTTCCAATAAAACAATGTCACGTGCCCCAAGTTACCTGCAAAGGAGGACAAAGTAGTGCTTTAACTTGCAACAACGCACCACTAAACAAAGTTGGGTTTGTTAGTAATGAAGAGCAGGATAAGGAGTTGTTGTTTGGCTGCATAAAAACAAATAACTCTACTAGGAGGGAAAAACTGACTCTTTCCTCAAGAAACAACAAAGGAAATAACTGGGTCCTTCTGGAAAGGGGAGAGATTTCTGCACTTTTGACTGGGCAGGGAGATCAGGAGAGGCTGCATGCAGGAAGTGGCACTCAACTCAGCTTTGAACCTGGAGTAGGATTTGAAGGTGGGCGGAGCAGAGTTGCCAGAGGAAAAGCTGTGAAAGGGGGAAGGATGTGTAAGGTGAACACTGGAGAAGGCAGCACTTTCCCTTTGGTGTGGAAAATGTTGGGAAAGGCGCAGGGGGGAACAGCAAAGGTGAGGCAAAATTGTGGAGCATCTCATTTGCAAAGCAAGGAAGTTTGGAACTTCTCCTATCAGAGGTAGGAATTCTTGTCCATTCCCATTTTCCCAAAGGATCTGTTAAGGTTGTCCCATCCTTGGGGCGCCTAGTGGCTCAGTCAGTTGAGTATCTGACTTCAGCTCAGGTCGTGATCTCACGGTTCGTGAGTTAGAGCCCTGCATCCGGCTCTCTGCTGTTGATGCAGAGCCTGTCTTTCTGGACCATCACTCCTCCCTGGCCACCTGGCCTGAGTCGCTCCTGCTCTAGGCAATTCCTCTCATGGTTCCTGTGGGTTATGCCAAACACCCGGACTGGTCCTGTACCTCTGAGGCACACAGCCCTTCCATGAAACCCCATTTGCTTTGAGAGAGAACCCAAGGGACATGGTAACTGAGTTTCTCCCAAGTGGGCTGGGTCTGGGAGGGAAAGACCAGCGGAGAAAGAAGGAGATGCAGCATTGGGCACCCCCCCCCACCGGAGGTCATCGGGGTGCTTCCTGTCCCTAGATGCTCTTGAACGTCTCACCCCATGTAATTCCTGCTTCTGAGGATGAACAGACCTCCAGGATGACCAGAAACAGAAGCCCCTGGCTTGCTAAGAATACTTTCTGCTCTCCCACCCACATCCTTTCAGTTACCTGCCGTCTCGTCCCTTCTGAACCACATGGCTCTGACGCGAGAGCCAGCTGAGGCAAAGACCCCGGGCCCCTCCTCTTCCTGAGGACCACTGCTGCTGCAGATGGGTGAGTGGGGTGAGGGGCAGTGCTGGAGGTGTCTGAGGTGCCAGGACCAGGGCGGGGCTAGGCTGCAGAGGTCTGAGAAGAGGACATAAGGGTTAGGGTACCAAATAACCAACATGGATTAGACATCTGTGTGTCGGGTCCTGGCAGGGCTGGGGATGTCTGGGGCAAAGAGCAGACTGGGTCGGGGAGCGGAGTTAGGGGTGAGGGTGGGCGCTCAGCCAAGGAGGTTGAAGGTACAAGAAGCACAAAATGCTGGAAAACCCAGGGGTAGTCAGTTTTCCCGTGTCTGTCAGTCACTGTCCACAGGCATGCTTTCCCAGATGGTAAAAATACATAATCCAGAGGACAGCAGTCAGGGAGAGTCCCTGAAACTTCCTCATCCCCCTGCCTCCATGTGACCCAGATGAAAAGTCCAAGATCAAGGGGTACTCTTTAAGAGAAAATTACCCCTTTCTTCCAGTAATCTCAAACGACTCCCGGTGACAACATATGCTTTGTCAGTAACGCTAAGAACTGATTCCTTGTTGAAGACCCTGAAGAGGGTGACTGTTCCTTATTTATCAACCGATGAAAGTCACCAAGTGGATAACATATCCCACCCATTCTGTGTAGAGTGAAGCAGGCTCAAATGTTCTTACTCAGAAAACACCATAGCAATCTCTGCTTAGGATGAGTGCTCAAAGGCCACTTGGGACTGGGAAGAAGAAAATCTAGAAAGGTGCTCTATTTATTGAATGGGGAACATTTTACCATGTACTCAGCTAGGAACACTGCCAACCATAGGGCATTCATTGTTTTTTTTGTTTTTTTTTTTAAGTTTATTTACTTACTGGGGGGAGAGAGAGAAAGAGGGAGTGAGAGAATCCCAAGCAGGCTCCACACCATCAGCACAGAGCTCAGTGTAGGGCTCGAACTCAGGAACCGTGAGATCATGACCTGAGCCAAAATCAAGAGTCAGATGCTTAACCGACTGATTCACCCAGGTGCTCCAGGGCATTTATTCTTACATCGATAATAGCATGATACAGTTCAGCAAATACCCCCATTTTCCAAACTGAGAAAGCATAAAGAAAGGGAAGTGACTTGCCCAACAGCATCTGGACAGTAAGAGAGAGAGAGGAAGAAATTGATCACAGATGGAACGGGGAAGGAGCAGAGCCTGAGGGATGGGAGGAAGAGCCTGGGGGTGGCGGTGGGGGTCAGGTAACGGCTCAGAGGCAATGTAGATCCTCAGAAAGTTCCCTTGCCATTAGTCAGGTCCAGCGTTCACTTTGAGGCCAGGTGAGGAGAAAGGATGAAGGGGAACTTGTCTGTGAAGCCCAGCTCCTCTGGGCTTCCAGAAAGTCTTTTGGAAGCTCCTTTGGGAGTCACAAATAAGGAGAAGGCTGGGTCCTGGAGGAAGTGGAGAAAGGAAGTCAGGCTGCTTGCTGATTGCTGATCCTTCCTCCCCACAGCACCTGCCAGGCTGCTGTATTCTTCTTGTTCCTTGGAGAAGACTCTTCTGTGCAGCTGTTCCTTCTATGGCATCCCCACACCCTCCGTGCAGTGGTGGATGGGAGGGGCTCCCGTGGGTGCGAACAGTGTGGATAGCAGTGTCCACGTGACTTCCACCATAATTGCCCCCTGGGCCAACAGCACCATCAGCCTGACAGAGCAGCCAAGAATGAGCACAAGCCTTCTCTGTGAGGGGAAGAACCAAAATGGAACCCATGCTTTGAGCATCCTACTGAGGCCAAGTGAGGGTAGAGGGGGCCCGGTATCTGGGTGAGGGAGTGAGCTGGGGAGGGAGCAGAGCTCGAACTCCAAGTCCAAGCTTTCAGGACAGAAGACTTTCTCACATGCTCTCTCCTTCCAGGAAAGAGTTCTTTTCTTCCCCAGACTTTCATGAGAGGGCTGATCCAGGGTGTTGTCTATGGAGCCATTGCAGCCTCACTGCTGTTTTTCTGCGTCATCCCACTCATGTGAGTACCAGGGCTAAAACCGTACCCAGCAGGCCCTGGCCTGGGTGCTAGCGGGGAAGGGGAAAGACAGAACCCCTGCGTCCAAGGAGCTCAGGGTCTGGTAAGGGAAGGAGGCACCAGACATGGTCACCACAGTCCAGGGCCCTCAGGACTATGCTCAGCCACAAACAAGGCCCAAGGGACAGAGGCTTTCAGTGAATTTCATAAAGGAGAAAGCAAAGGAGGAAGTGGCAGCCACAGAGAAGCCAGCGGAGCTCCCCGGGGTGCTGTCTAAAGCGGCCCTGAGGGGCTGAGTGCTCATTTGCTGGGTGGAAAGTAGCATATGCAGACCCCAGAGACACATTTGAGGAATTGCCGGTGTCTGTGTGCAATGTCAGATGCATTGACAGTGATGGGAAATGGCTGAACATGAAGTTGAGAAAGCGTCTTGGTGTTAGTTCATAAAGACTCTCGAAACCTGGCTAAATGTATTGGCTAGAAGCCCAGAGTGAGAAGGGCAGAGCTGCCAGAGGTCAGGCCCGAGACTTCAGCGGGGGGAGAGAGGGTGGGGGGGGGGGAAGGGGGGCTCTGGCCAGTCCAAGTGTCTTGGACTTGATCCTCAGTTGGGAGCCGAGGAACAGTGTTAAGCAGGGAAGAAAAGCTCCTAGTGCAAGGTGTCTGTACACAGACCAGAGGGCAAGAGCCAGAGGCGTGAGGCCAGGCAGGAAGACTACATAATAAAGAGCCCAAAAGTCAGAGCATGCCAAGAACCCAAGCTGTCTCTGAAGCCTAAGGAGCCAGCAAGATCCACAATCACTCCATCTTCAGAGAGTGAGATATTGGTGGGTACCCACTGCGTCTGGAGCCTAGACTATCAGCATAATGGCAGTAAGACTCACGAGGAGAAGCACATACAGTGTTTAAAGGAATTACCATCATCAGTCTTATGGGGCACCTAGAATGCCAGAATGTGCTTGCAGATCATCTTATAGATGGTGAAGCCAAGGCCCAGAGAGGGGAAGAAGGATGAAAATTAAGACAAATAACTTAAAGGGCATTGGAATCAGCAATGTACACACACACACACACACACACACACACACACACCCCTTCACACTGAGTCCCCATTGAGAACGGGGTTGAAAGAATCCCTAACAGTGTTTGTGGCATCAGAGTGGAAGCCAAAGGCTTTGGTCTCTGAGTGTTTGGCAGATTGTAGAAAACACGGTCTGTAGATACCACAGGCCCAAGTTAGCCTGAAGTGCTTGGAGACCAGAACAAAGACAAGGTCTTCATTTACCTTGCACCCCATATCCTCAGCAGGGCTTGGAAGAGACAGGCCTCAGTGTTATGTACCATTTACAATCCTCGAGGACTGGAAATACCCTGCTGCCCTCCTTAAACCCTGCATTGGAGCTGGCGTCCCTTTGCGGATAAACCAAGAAGCTGTTAAATTCCACCAAGATATCCCGCAGTATCTCCCAACCTCCATGCTGGGCAGTGCCGGGCCTCAGAAATGGGTCAGACCCAGGCCCCTGTCCTCAGAGAGCAAGCAGGCTGGTAGGAAGGTAGCCTTGCAGCAACAGGGCTGGGACAGGAGTTATAGTTGAGGAGGGAGGGATTGACCCTCCCTGGGGAAGTCAGGCAGAACTCCCCAGAAGAGTCTGGGGAACGTTGGGTGGCTCGCAGTGCTAGGAATGCACAGGGAGGGGCACTGAGAGAAGACAGGTTGCAGGCTCCAGTCATGGGGTTCTGAGAAAAGGTGAAGCCAATGTCTGCTCCACATTGCTGTAATTCTGTGCTCATAGGGAGAGACAGGATTCTGTCCATTTAAGAACTGGATACCTCACCTCTCGACTTATTCCAATATTCTTCTTTCTTTGCCCTGCTCTGTAGCACCGCTTACCTTAAACTTCCAGAAAAAGCAAGATAAAGTGGAGCTCATAAAGCCTATGAAAACTACGTGCCTACCTGGAGTCCCCAATATCTGCGGGATTACCAAAGTCCACGGAATCCTTAGGCACCCCAGAAACCCTGGAGTCTATAACAAACCCGGATCCCTGGAGCCTCCTCAGCTCACAAAGCCCTCTCAAGCCCCACCTGTCCCTCACACTGACTGGTTCTCCATTGAGTAGGGTTACTCTGGGACCTGGTCTCAGAATCTTTGCAAGCAAACTCTATGATCTGTTGTTCAGGTTAACCAGAAGTATGCTCTGGCCTAGGATGGTATCAACGAAAGGAAAAATAAATGTGAGACTATGGTCCAGAAGTAGCTTTGGAGCCCCTACTGTATGCCCAGAACCTGGAATATACATACAAGAGCACCAGGCTTTGGAGCCATCATATATGGATTGAATCCCAACTTTAATGCTTAGTGGCTATATGTCTTTGGATGAAACCTTTTCACCACTGCACCCTTTGAACTTCGGTATCCTGACCTGAGGCATATGTAGGTAGATAGTGAGTGAAAAGTGGTATCCAGAGGTCCAGGTGGAGAAAAGACACAAAGACCATCCCTGAATGCCAAGACAAGGCATTGGAGCCTTAATCTTGACTCCCTTAGAATGTAAGTTCCACAAGAACAGGTATCTTGTCTGTCTTGGTTTCTACTTGAACCACCAGCACCTAGAATGGTTCCTAAAATATAAGACTCTCAAAGATGTTTGTCGAATAACTGAATGGATGAATGAATGAATGAATGAATGATAAGCTGTTGCAAGGTTTGAAGCAAAGAATGATACATAGTGAAATCGTGCTAGGAGTAGTTATGGAACTCAGAAGATAGAAGACCGGAGGCAAAGAGCCTAGTTAAGAGGTTAGTGCAGTATTTCTTGGCTGAAAGACAGGCATACAAGAAATGAGAACAGGGATCTGGCAAGAGGATGGACAATGGCTGTGTATTGTTCCCCTCTGAGTGGATGGCATCCTCCCTTCTGGAGCCAGATGCTGGTAATTTTCAGAGGTTGCAAAAAAGGGGTCATCTCTTCCCTGAAGCATTATTTGTGCATAAATCCAATGGTTCTCCATCCAGCACCAATGTGATGGTCATCCCGTACTCAAGAGCAGATGTTTATATAGGCCCCCATGCACAGTCACTCCTTTGGCATGCAGTTCACACATTCCACAAAAATATAAGCATCCACCTTGTGCCGGGTAGTGGAGTGAACCAGACAGACACTGGCCCTGCCTCCGTGGAGCTCGTGGTCCACACAGGTACACAAACAACAATGAAATAAACACAAAACTGCAGCTTACAATGTTGACAAGTGCTAGGAAGAAAAAGGATATAATACTATGAGAAAGTATGAGGGACAAGGGGAAGAACCCAGTTTGGATTAGAGAATCAGAGAAGGCCTCTCTGAGAAAGTGACATTTGGGCTGAGAGACCAAAAAGGATTATCAGGGGCTACTCGGAGGGACAGCAGATTCTAGGGTCTGTGATGGGAGAAGTTCAGTGAGTCTAAGAGCCCAGGTCTATGCCCCGGAGCTCAGGTGGAAGGGTGAGCTCCGGACGTGCCAGATCTTTCAGGGCCTCAAAGGCTCTGGTGAGAAGTTTTAAGTTCTATCCTCACTCACAGAGGGTTATTTCCTCATGTGCTCTGTAACTTCGGAACGTGTGGTCCTAAGCAGCGGAGAATGCCATCTAGACGAGAAATGGGAGAGAGGATGGGAACTGGGTTGGGAACAGGTCCGGGATGGGTTTGGACAAGAGAATGAAGAGCTGGGTCTTCCTCACGTGTCTCGCTTTGTCCGTGATAGGGATCTTGCTTGCGGGAAGGGAAATGGGGCACAAGATGCCTTCTCATCGTCCCTGAGGGTCGAGCACATGGCATTTTGTTCCTTGGTCGATGGCTTTCAATTCACCGCCCATCACCTGCTTGCCCACAGTACTGGCTTGAGGAAGGAGTGTCTCTTAAAGGCTGATTAGGCCTGCAGTTCACAGGGCTGGTAGGGTTTTAGAACCTTCTGCTCAAGATTAACGAACTGCCGCTTGCTCCAGACGGCCTCAGGCGCGGGAGACTCAAGGGTTCTACGGCACTGACCCTCCCTGTCCCAGCAGCCCCCGCGTGCATCATTAGGCCCTGATTGGCTCCAGACGGATTCACGTGTGCTAACGGCATGCCTGAGGGGCGGGACTTCGCGGGGCGGCTTCCCCACGTGACCTCTGGCCGGTCGGACGTTGGTGAGGCTGGGGATTCCCAGGCCGCCTACTGAACTTGTTATGAGTCAGCCTGATGCGTTAGCCTTCCTCTCCCTTCGTCCCTTCACGGTGAGTCATCCAGTAGTTGTACACATGCTTATTCCACGCATCAGTGGGTGGATCCGGCGGGTCGGGAGGCTTTAAATCAGCCAATCAGTTCGTCCCTTATGGGAACAGGAAGTTCCCGTAGATAGTGAGTCGGCCAATCGATCACGTGATGCACTCGGCCAAACTCGAGGAGGATGTTCAGTTGTCTGGAAAGTAGCCTAGCAGAGACCTGCTGAGGCGGGCCCTGGTTGGCGCTGTGGGAACCCAAGACAAGGGGTAAGTCTGGAAAAGGAAATGATCATTTAGCGGGAGGGGAAAGAGGTTTCCTGTGGAGACAACCCGTGGCTGCACCAGGCCCTGGAGAAGGGAATGAGAAATTGGGAGAGATCGGAATTTTAAAGTCAGAAGGACCATTACACACTGGGCTATAACACCTTCTCATTTTATAGATGGGAGAAATGGGAGGGAAACCAGAAAGGGAACAGCACTTGCCTAAAACTTCCAGCGAGTAACCTGCAAAGCCCAGTGTGGAACCACCACAGAGCTCTCCTCAGTCTTCGACCTGAGGTTGTAAATAAATCACTATATTCAATTAGATTCTGAGAAATAATTTATAACTAGAATTTTTAATTTCAAAAACTAAAAAAACAAAAAAAAACAAAACAATCTAACCGAAGAAAGAACTAGACAATGCAAATCTCCCCTTTCAGTAACTGAGCAAGCAGATGAAAAAATTAGTAAGGATATAGATACCATCAACCAAATTGACTTAAGTGACATTTATAGAATATTCCATCCAATAATAATAGAATACATATTCTAGTCAAGGGCTCATGGAACACTTAGACTATGTTCTGAGCTATAAAACAAGCCTCAACAAATGTAAATGAATTGAAGTCGTATAAAGTATGTTTTCTAACCACAGTGGAATTAAACTAGAAACAAATAGTTGGAAAATCATTACGATTTGTGCTTGTACATTTTTCTTCAGTGAATATTTAGCAGACAAGAACCTTTCTAAGCTCTGTGGAGGACACAAAGATCTGTTTGATGTAGGGCTTTCTCTCAAGGATCTCACTCTTGGATAGTTCCCCTGGTAGGATATTTCATCAACTTCCCAACTAGACAAACAACCAAATGAAGAGGAAGCATGTGTGGTGAATGTAGCGGCTCCATCAGGCTGGCAGGGAACCAGAACCCTCATGCTGTTGTCAACAACATCCTCAGTCTGTGGTTTTGATCCTTATGGCTATCTCATGGTTGCCAGATGGCTGCTCCACCTCCAGCATCACATCCATATTCCAGGGAAAGAGAAGGAGGAGGAGGAGGAGCAAGAGGGGAAGGGGAAGGAGAAGAAAGCAACAAGCAGAAAGTGGTGTTAGTATCAGAAAAGCAGAACTCCCCAAAGTCTTCAGCATGGTTGATATTTTAAGAAAACAAGTCTCTCAAAGTATTTGCTTAATAATAAATCTAGCAGAGTCCAAGGTTTTTATTTTGCATCGTACATTTGGGAGAAGAGTACAATCCTAACAGATAGGTATACAATTTAAGAAAACAGAGTTGTCAGTTATAATGTTATTGGTACCAGAGCAAGAAATTATCAAGTAAGACAACTGGTCAGAATTCCATTTTATTTGGATATCATTTTCATAAGACATGGAATAATTTCTAATGTCTTTAGAGTCTCATAAGACCACTTTGTTTAAATTGTTCTTCCAAGGGCGGATTTGTATCAGCAGAGAACAGAACAAGTCAGTAGCAGTCATGAATATTCATACAAAACTGTATATTGCAAAGGAGAACATAAATTATATTCTTATAAACATTCTCGGTTTTGTACAATATCAAATCAGATTCCTTGAGCCCTTTTATAACACAGAACAATACCTTTTGATTTATAGCTGCAGGGGAAGTGAACATCTTTTTCAATTCTTTCTGAGACTTGTTTCCTTTATTATGAAAACTTATTTTTTTAAAGCCAGGCTCTGGAATTCCATTAGCTAGGATTATATGCAGAAAACAGTTCTTCAGAGCTCAATTGTGACGGTAAAGAAAATGTGGTAAAGGCTGGATAGGCTTTTATTTGCTGTCGATATTTTAATAGCCTTTTTCTTGTACTTGGCCCACTGGCCACAGCTTTGCCATAGAGCCACCTCTGGATGTACAGAAGGCAGAAATATAGTTGTTGGGTTTTTTTTAACTGGGGAATTAATCACCTGAACAAATTTGAAATAAAGGGATACACAGGAGAGTGGTTATCAGGGAGGACAGTTCTCAGAGTTTGTCTGAGACGTTGCCGTAAAAGAGATGGACATATAGGGGTGCTTAAGAGAGTCTGGGAAGGGAGACTTCTTTGTGGTTCTGGAGATCCTAGAAGGCTACTTGAAGGAAGTTAAATTTGACCTGGGCTTAGAAATTCTGAGAGACAGGATTTGAATGTGGGCAGAAGGGAGAGTTGCAGAAGGATGCCATGAAAAGGGGAGTGGCCTGAGTAAATATACAGAGACAGGAATGTATGGACCATATGTGGAAAGATACTTTTCTCTTTGTCAGGCAAAGAGTGGCAGAGCGTAGGGAAGGGAGCAGTGGAGATAGGCCAAGTGTGGGGCAAAATCATGGACAGCCTCAAATGCAAGGCACAGGGGTTTGGAATTTATCCTGTCAGCCATAGAAATGTCTTTTATTGCTCAAATACCTTTTTTTTTTTTTAGTTTATTTATTATTTGTTTTGAGAGAGAGAAAGAGAGTCGGGTGGAGGCAGAGAGAGAGGAAGAGAAAGAGAATCCCAAGCAGGCTCTGTGCTATTAGCGTAGAGCCCAATGTGGGGCTCCATCTCACGAACAATGAGATCATGACCTCAGCTGAAATCAGAATGCTTAACCAACTAAGCCACCCCAGTGCCCCATTGTTCAAATACCTCTTAAATATATCCCGTCCTCTCCACCTCCATAGCCACGGTTCCAGCTCAGGATGCATTATCTTTCTGTTAAACTATTTCTTTCTCCTTGATGCAGATCCATAGTGATCTTTGTGACACCCCATGGTTCAAACCTGTTCCCCCATGGTTCAAAAACTTTCTGTGGTTCCCATGATTTCCTAATCAACTTGGGAGAGAGGCCAAGCTTCTCAGCCTGGCATTTGAGGTCCTTCAAAGGGGGAGGACTCAGAGGTGACAGCTGGAGGGGAAAGAAGAAACACATGGTATTTGGACTCTAGAGAGACTCATGGAGACACTGCTCTATCCTTGAAGCTCCTCAGCCTCTGTTTCCATGAGACTCCTGATTCTCTAGGCAAATGGAACCTAAGAGTGATTGAAGAGACAAAAACCCCTAGTGGGCTATGAATTTACCTCTACCTCCACCTCATGCCACTTCCTGCTGACTCTCTCCTCATCCATTCCAAATCTTGCCC